AGGGAAGGAAGCACCAGCATTCTGGACAACCTGTTGTCGCGCATGGAGCAGTATGCCAATAACCTGGAAAAGCTGGTGGAAGAGCGCACACAGGCCTACCTGGAGGAGAAGCGCAAGGCAGAGAACCTACTCTACCAGATCCTGCCCCAGTGAGTCCAGCCTCCCTCCCTCCAGGGTTCTGTAGCTTGACGCCATCTCCTGCTTGGAGGTTCAGCAGCTCCTGTCCTTTCTATTCCACAGTTCGGTGGCCGAGCAGCTGAAGCGGGGTGAGACAGTACAGGCTGAAGCCTTCGATTGTGTCACCATCTACTTCAGCGACATTGTAGGGTTCACCTCCTTGTCAGCAGAAAGCACTCCTATGCAGGTAGGCTGCAGCATGGGTGGGTGGGTGGGCAGTACCTTGCATGCCTGAAATGGATGTGTCTGACTCTAGTCCTGCTTGGTTTGTGCTTGGAAAAGTCTCCTCCACACAGCCCATCCCCTGGCTGGAGCAGGTCCAAGATGCCCGCTAGACAGTTTTCCCATGAATGTGAGGCGCTCCCTTGTTCCTCCGCTTAAGAGTTGGGCTATGGCTTGTTTTCTTCACCCAACGTAGATATGGAGCCCTGTCCTACTTGCATGTGGTGCTGCAACCAAACATGGCTGGCACATTGCAGAAGATTAGTACTTAGCTACCAGTTGCTGAAAAAAGTGGAATGGCTATGTTAACATGCCAGGCCTCCAGAAACTCTGGAAGTTAAGTGTTCTCCGAAAGTATAGTCCAGACAAGAGGGCAGAGGGAAAGGGAGGGGAGGGGAGAGGGAGGGAGGTCTGGAGAGGCCTCTTTTGACCAGGGTGAATGTGGAGGGTTACATGGCACAGAGTCAAGGTAGGCATATTCTGAATTTTTGACACGCTGAGCCCAAAAGGTTCACCACAACTGATCTGTATTTATGACCATGGCTGAAAGAGCTCAGTCACCATGTTCTTACAAAAGGGTTTAGGATGATTATGAATCAGGCTGCTACTTTTACATCCTCCTGTGGATCATTGCTTCGGCATGACATATTACATGGACACAGCAATCAGGTTTCACTGCATGTTTTGGGTGTTGTGTCAACGCAGCTATTGGGAAGCAGAGGAAAGGCAGAGCTTGCTATTTATTACCCTCCCAATGTTCACTTATCCCTTCTGCAGGGTGTGGGAGTGGGGTCCCAATTTGGCCCTTCTTGTTCAACTTCGTCAGTTGGTCTTTACTCGCTTTCCCAAAAATGTCTTTCCATCTGCCCTGGGCGTTTGCAAGCACTGCCGCATCTGGTCTTGCCCTGGGCGGCCACCTGCTCTTGCTAGATTAGACTCCCTCCACCTGCCCAGCCAGCTCACCCATCTCTCCCCATCCCAATCACTAGGTGGTGACACTCCTCAATGACCTCTACACTTGCTTCGATGCCATCATAGACAACTTTGATGTCTACAAGGTGAACTTTGCTGGGACGGGAGGGGGGTGTCTTCCTGGCTGACCCCCAGCTCAAAGCAGTGCTGTAGGGAGGGCCCCCAGCTCATCTTGCTCCTTGGCCCTGGCCCTAGGTGGAGACCATTGGTGATGCCTACATGGTGGTGTCCGGCCTGCCTGTTCGAAATGGCAAGCTCCATGCCCACGAGATCGTCCGCATGGCCCTCGCACTCCTGGAGGCTGTGAAGACCTTTCGCATCCGGCACCGTCCCAGTGAGCAGTTGCACCTGCGCATTGGGGTCCACTCTGGTGAGTGAGGCGGGCAAGCACGGTCTACCTTTCCTGAGCATGCACAAAGCACCAGCGGTTCAGCCGTCCTCCTCTACCTCCCTGCAGGGCCGGTGTGCGCGGGAGTGGTTGGCCTGAAGATGCCACGCTACTGCCTCTTTGGGGACACAGTCAACACGGCTTCACGTATGGAGTCCAATGGCGAGGGTGAGATACCCACCCCCAATCCTCTTTCTGTAGGGCCTGTGTATCCTTACCTCCCCTCCCTTGGAGCCTGCTACTGGTGCTTCACCCCACCCGGCTGTCTTCCCAACCTCCCCCCCCCCCAGCTTCCTTGTGAACTTCCATTCCCCTTCAGTAGATGCTCCAGTGGGATGCAATCCAGCCCACCTGCGCCCCATTTCTGGGTGGCTGAGGGGACTGAGACGTTGCTTCTCCTTGAGGGCCTCCTGAACGCAAGAGGGGCCCCATCAGGAACACTTAAAAGCTTCACTAGTTTAGACTAATCAACTTTATTGTGGTACTCTGTAATTGCTGTGGACCGCAAGACTCCCAAGTATGCCACTGGGCCCCTTTGGCAGGGGATCCTGGGGGGCGCTCACTCTCCTGCCCCTGTTCCTTCCAGCCTTGAAGATCCACATCTCTGCCGCCACCAAGGAGATCCTGGATGAGTTTGGCTGCTTTCTGCTGGAGCTCCGGGGGGACGTAGAGATGAAGGTGGGCATGGGAAGGAACAGGCCGGGCCCTGCATCAGTGGGGAGGGGGGAAGAGGATGGAGTGCAAAATGGAGGTGCGCCTCTCACTTTCACTGCTCTAGGGGGGCTGCATTGCAAGAAAGGGGGCAAGAGCCCTTCACCTGTCTGCTTTCTGGCAGGGCAAAGGGAAGATGAGGACCTATTGGCTGCTGGGTGAAGAGAAGACGGCCGTCATCTGAGGGGGGCCCTCCCTCTGCAGGGACCCGGCAGCAGCATCTGCTCCCATGAACTTGCGGGGGATTCACTCTGCCTTGGAACAG